GTTGTCGCAGCGTTACACCAAGCTACCTCACACATACGGTCTTTCCAAAATTCACAAAGACGGTATTCCGCTCATGCCGATTGTTACCTGTTAAGTCTCTGTGTGCTACCCTCTGAGACGCCCCCATCCAATCCAATCAATTGGTGTGCCTGGACGAGGTTGGATTGTTCACCAAGGTACTCACAAAGGAGGCACTATCGTTAGTCATGGACAGACTTGCCTCGGACTCATCCCTGGGAGAACGGACCAGTATATCAATAGATAACCTAATAGAAATGCTGACTCTCCGTACACAAACAACAAACTTCGGGATGGGATCAGACATATATCCACAGGGTGAAGGTTTGGCAATGGGCTCGCCATTACCACCAGCAATAGTAAACATATACATGGAATACTTTGAAGAAATGGCAGTAGAATCCTCATCACTAAAACCAACCCTATGGCTGAGATACGTACATGACACCTTCATACTCTAGCCATACCAAGAAGAGGTCCAGCTACTATTGGACCATGTAAACTCAATAAGATCATCGATACAGTTCACAATGAAGCGAGAAAACAGCAAACACGTCTTCCTGAATTTACTAATATCTCGAAAAGAGCATGGGTTCAAGGCATCTGTATACCGCAAGTCAACATTCACTAGACAATATCACAATTTCAACTCCAACCACCCATACAGTGTAAAGAATGTTTACAACATCAAGCAAAATTCATCTGGCGAGCCAGAGAAATGGCAAGTATGAGCAGTATCCTACAACGTAGCACCTACACTGGGTACATGACAGCAGCTCCAACAAGCTGTGATAGAAGTGTAGAAGAGGATAACAACACTCATAAAACAGCTTCGGTCTGCCTACCTTATGTGAAAGGATTATCGGAAAACAACAAAAGATCTGTGGTCCATATAAAATCAGGACGACTTTCAAGAGAGGTACAATAGTTCGCAGGCACACCTTCCGAGTAATAGACCCTACCCATAGAGGAGAACATGACTAAGGACTGTATTTACGCCATCCCGCGCAGCTGTGAGAAGAAATGTAAAGAAGAAACAGGCTGTCCTCTTAATGTAAGATTGTAAGAACATTGTAAAGCCTTAACACGTAGAGTAAATTGAAAAATCAGGTTTAACTGACCACATATGGAGGGTAAAGGGAGATCACCGCCAATGTGAGATGAGATTGAAATAATAGACAGAGAACAATATTGGAAAATAGGAAAACTCAAGGAAGTAGCACATATGCTAGGCCACAAAAATCTCCTAAGCCGGCCAAGCATAGAAATGAATATAATATGGAAACCAGTAATACGGAGTTCTAGAAAAAAAATAACAAGAGCAAAATTGCAATATGAGCTTTGATAAAAAAAAATCTATTAATGAGACATTAAGTTTATATGTTCCAAAACTTCATACAATGTCCTAAAAGACACATGGCCCAGTGGATAAAAGCGTTGGTTGGATACAGTGACTTGAACCAAAAGAGTTGTGAGGTCAATAAAAAAAAAAAAAAAAAAAAAAAAAAAAAAAAAAAACACAACGACTTGAAGAGTTGAATTAGAACGTCCGAAACGTCGGGAACATAGCAATAAATACGAGAACTTACTTACAATACTTTATCTCAGAAATATAAACATATTATATATATATATATATATATATATATATATATATATATATATATATATATATATTCATTTTAAGGAGAAAATTATTGTTGAAAATATTTTGAAGATTTCCAAAATTTTATTCTAAGATATTTTACAGTCTGCCAATTCAAAAGAATACCGCACGTCTCATACAACGTTGCTGGTTGGTTAATATATGTAAATACAAAGATTCAAATACACAAAAATTGAGTTGTGTGATGAGTTTTCAGTAGTTAAATCTATTAACATTTTTCTACAATTCTGAAACGGGGCTCGACACAGACACAGAAACACACACACACACATACACATATATATATATATGTGTGTGTGTGTGTATATATATATATATATATGTGTGTGTGTGTGTGTGTGTGTGTGTGTGTGTATCATCCACAGACAGACTGTTTCGTTGTATTACAGCTCATCAGTGTTGATAGACATCCTAATCCCGCAAGCAAGGATCGAAAATCAGTCGGAGAATTTTCCCCTGAGGTGAATTTTCATGTATTCGTTTCAGAATAAACACCCCAGTGATTCAGAGTGCTCAATTCATAGAAGGGGGTTTTGCATCAGCAGTAACAGTCGCTGTTTACAGATTCACGCTTATATATATATATATATATATATATATATATATATATATATATATATATATACATTACGAAAATCTCTCTTACGTGTAACCATATATTTTAATTCTTTTTTTTTTTTTACTAAATTACATTTATTATGCGTAAAGATTTGCAACGAAATTCCCATTATTATTAGAAAGAACGAAGCGGCTAGTTGACGTGAGAAATCTTTTCCCTAAAATACTGTTTTTAAGAGAATTATTTTATAAATGTCAGACGACAGTAACACCAATTGTTCGATCAATGAATGACGAATGGAAACAGATAATTTCAGCATTACCATTATTAATATTGTCTGTGAATTGCTACGTCTTTCTCAGAAAGATGGTGGAGCAGGGATTTCCTTTAACCCAAGGCTCAAGAACCCAGTTTATTGTTAGAAGAAAAGATGATTTCATAAGTGCATTACGGGGTGCAGTGAGTAAATTGTCGACATTTTATACTTTTATTTTCACTAATGCGCGTAGGTTTTGTTTTTGTCGACTGCACAGTATAGTCGGGCCAGTTGGGTACAGCCTGAGATAAACAAAATACCAACACGCAATTCAAATTTTGCAAAGTGCATGCTGTACTGCATGGTATTTGAAGCACCAATAAGTACACTTCAGTGTTTCGGTGCCAATCTGAGGACAGTGCAGAGGATTCGGAAGAAGTTGGATGAGTCTAAGCGTGATTACGAAGTTACGGTAACTCGAAAAACTCACTTCGATCGTTCTGATAAGAAAAGTACTCCCGAATTTGTTTTTGCCCCAAGGCTGAACAGTGACGTCTGAGCAGTACAAGCCCAGATTGAGCAACAATACTCCATTTTTTATTTGAGCTTACTCATGTAAAGATAAAGCATGGCAGTAGGAGTCGGGTTCTTTCTGGAGCCTACAAATAACTGACCATTCTTCCAACATTTTTAGCGATCGTATGAGTTCCAGTTGAGTTCTAGAGAGAATTTGAATCCTGATAGTCATTTCTAGCAAGGATCTTCATTGAGAGTACAATTGCTCATCAGGACTGAAGTAAATCAGGGGCTAGTATGGTACTCATGAAACATTACTAATCATGTTTTGGAGATATTTATTTATTTATTTATTATTATTATTAATAATAATAATAATCATTTCACCCAAAGCAAGGTAATAAAGTCACTAAAAAACAAGGGGTTACTGATCGTGAAAAAACAAGAAAAGAAAATATTATAAAGAAAGGTGAATAATAAAAGAAGATTAATCAAGAAGACAGCAGATAACGATTACCATTGCAATTATATTTTTGAAGATCAAAGTTGGGTGGAGAGTACTGATCCGGAAGAGTGAGAAAAGAAACCTTTAGCATAAAATTTAAGGTTGTATCTGGCCAATTCAACTCTAAATTGACGAGACCCTGTTGCCATTCTAGTACTGTGCTCAAATGAATAAAGTCTAGGTAGCATAGAACAAAGTTCATCAAAACAATGACAATGAAAGTGTTCGTAGAAAAGACACAGGGAAGCTGCATTACAGCGGTGGAAAAGTGACTGAAGCCGGGATGCCAGGTCAGAACCAATAATATTGCTAATTCTGCTTTGGACCACATCAACCCTTTCATCTGGCCACCTAACTTACCAGACTGCAAATCCCCCGCATGATTATTATATGTGGGGTGTAGTTGAGCGAGAGATCAAACAAAACTCTTCGTAACACCAAAGATGAATCTGAAGGTAAGGATTATGGCAGCATTCACCAACTTAAAACAAGGAGACAGCCCAGAAGAGTTGCAAGAGATTCCGAAGTCGTTTGGAGGCTGTGGTGAAAGCCAATGGCGATTTTATTAAATAAATTTACTCTTTAGTAATTCAAGATATTTTTTGTGTAATTTTGCTAAATATGTCTGTTAAAATGAGATGTCAGTAGTTATTTTTTTGCGTCATTTAGACGACAATTTATCCATCGCAACCTAAATTTTGAAAAACGGACGGTAGAGAGTAGGTATGAATTTGAATTCGGTTTGCCGCGTCCACGGTCGTTGTAATTTTTTTTCTTTTTTTTTTTTTTAATCATCTCAAATATTTTTTAACTGAATCTGATCATTTCCAAGCCTCGCTTAATATTGCACAAGGCCAAATAAAAATGAGTGGTGGGAAATTATGTCGATGCAGTTACGTGAAACTTGATGCAGGCATTATCTGTGTGAAGCTGTCGACTGATTCGTTGGCATTTCCTAGTGACACAGTCATCACTGATCTTTCTTCTTCTTTTTTAATCATTGTAGGTCAAAAATGATGACAGATTTGAAATCACCCTGCCAATCAGAGCAAATGAGACATTTTCTTTTTAAAATAAAGATAGCATTAACTAATTAATAAAATTTCTGACGTTAAGAATAAAATGTGACGAATAATTTCTGAACATAATTCGAAAAGATATTAAAAAAATATATAAGAGAAAAAAGCGAAAGGACATTTTCATTTCAGTCAATTGTAACGATGTGCCTACCGGCTATAAGGGATCATGGACAGGTTTTTAAACGTGGAATAATGAAGTTTCGGTGGTTAACGTGAGGTGAAGAAGAAGATGAATAAAAAGAAAAGAATGAAAAGCGAAAGAGGAAAGAAAGGAAAAAAAACGTAAAGAAAGATAGGATGATAAACAATAGATGAAGTAAGAACAGTTGAAAAAAAGAAAAATAGATAGATAGATAGATAGATAGATAGATAGATAGATAGATAGATATGATCAATCAGACTGGCAGATAGATAGATAGATAGATAGATAGATAATAAGATAGATAGATAGATAGATATGATCAATCAGACTGGCAGATAGATAGATAGATAGATAGATATGATCAATCAGACTGGCAGATAGATAGATAGATAGATAGATAGATAGATAGATAGATAGATAGATATGATCAATCAGACTGGCAGATAGATAGATAGATAGATAGATAGATAGATAGATAGATAGATATATAGATAGATAGATATGATCAATCAGACTGGCAGATAGGATAGATATGATCAATCAGACTGGCAGATAGATAGATAGATAGATAGATAGATAGATAGATAGATATGATCAATCAGACTGGTAGATAGATAGATAGATAGATAGATAGATAGATAGATAGATAGATCAATCAGACTGGCAGATAGATAGATAGATAGATAGATAGATAGATAGATAGATACCAATAGACTTAGATAAACAAAGTGATGTATGTATAAATAGAATTGAACAGACTGAGATAGATGTGAAGTGACATGTCCACAAGTTAAACGTGTCGCAAATGACTATAAATAAAATATATACCGTGTGTAACAGCAAAATTGTCCAGATCGTGTAACAGCATAAGTGTCCATCCCTCAAAATATTTAATATCTAAAAAAAAAAAAATGAAACTAATTGAGTTTTCTTTTTTCCTGGTTTTCAACTAAGATGTATAGGCATCTTGATACCAATTTTGATAAGAATCACTGAAAACGTCTTTTGGTTATTCAGCTAGAAAAAAAAGAACAGGTTAAAATCGTTTTGGGTCAAGCGCCACTGTCTTCCCAACTGAGCAATGTCGAGAAGGAAAAAGGTCATTCGGGCCTTCAGTAATGGTACCAACATTCCTATTCTGGCTCCCATCTTCAAAGTCCATTCAAGAAACCTCAAAAGAACGGTGAATACGTTTTAAAAACGAGCGAACAGTAGAGAGGAAAACTTGATCAGTTGGTCACAACATGAAAAGAGATCAGCATTTCAACTTAAGAGATAAAGAGATCAATTACAAAAGATCTAACTCAATACATAAGTCGTGTGTCACGTGAGAGAGAAGTTTCAGCTATGACAGTCCAAAGACCAGTGAACAAAAAAACTTAAAAATGAAATCGTATGAGAAACGCGTGAGACACCTTGTTACTCCAGGCAAGAAAGATAGAGAAGGTGAAAATCATCTTGAATAAGTTGGAAAATGATCATGGAATAATGATAATAATAATATATACATATACGTTTAAATATAATGGAATTTTATTTCAATCCTTCCGATCCTTAGCTATGATTAATTAATGATGAACGTCATTTTCGTTTGTGATCGATTTCTTCATGATTCTTCTGTTAAGCTTGGATAGTAATTATACATTCTTGTTGCTCAAAGTAGAGGCAATGGGGCCATAAAGACCGCGGATAATTCCAGTAAAATATATTTAATCATTTCTAAGGCTGCATCATGGGTTTTTCCCCAAGGCTGAACAGTGACGTCTGAGCAGTACAAGCCCAGATTGAGCAACAATACTCCATTTTTTATTTGAGCTTACTCATGTAAAGATAAAGCATGGCAGTAGGAGTCGGGTTCTTTCTGGAGCCTACAAATAACTGACCATTCTTCCAACATTTTTAGCGATCATATGAGTTCCAGTTGAGTTCTAGAGAGAATTTGAATCCTGATAGTCATTTCTAGCAAGGATCTTCATTGAGAGTACAATTGCTCATCAGGACTGAAGTAAATCAGGGGCTAGTATGGTACTCATGAAACATTACTAATCATGTTTTGGAGATATTTATTTATTTATTTATTTATTATTATTATTAATAATAATAATCATTTCACCCAAAGCAAGGTAATAAAGTCACTAAAAAACAAGGGATTACTGATCGTGAAAAAACAAGAAAAGAAAATTTTATAAAGAAAGGTGAATAATAAAAGAAGATTAATCAAGAAGACAGCAGATAACGATTACCATTGCAATTATATTTTTGAAGATCAAAGTTGGGTGGAGAGTACTGATCCGGAAGAGTGAGAAAAGAAACCTTTAGCATAAAATTTAAGGTTGTATCTGGCCAATTCAACTCTAAATTGACGAGACCCTGTTGCCATTCTAGTACTGTGCTCAAATGAATAAAGTCTAGGTAGCATAGAACAAAGTTCATCAAAACAATGACAATGAAAGTGTTCGTAGAAAAGACACAGGGAAACTGCATTACAGCGGTGGAAAAGTGACTGAAGCCGGGATGCCAGGTCAGAACCAATAATATTGCTAATTCTGCTTTGGATTTTATCGAGAATCTCTAAATGCAGGAACATCAGACTATGTGGCACCATTTACCAAGTCAGAAAAAGAAAAGAAAGAAAAGAAAAGAAAGGAGAGACGAAGACCCAAAGCGTGGATGATAAGCAGAACACCACGGCTAAGAGACAATGGATAAAGGATATTTTGATAAGTAACAAATGGCGAAAGTGTGTCATTACAATGGCAGGGAAATTCTGAGTGGATAAGTGAATCGGGTGTGTTCTGGCGTCGGGCTGTGTTATCTGGGATACATAAACAAACCGCTAGTGCGGGAAAGCATCTGATTAAGCAAACCTCAGACCGACTAGCCAAAGAAAAGTCCAATTGAAAATGTTAATTTTGATAATTGACAAAACACAGGTGAATCTACAGGGCTTTGGATAGATATGAAAATTTAATTATGTCAAAAGCCGCACACGATGTGTCCACTGACCGATTTCTTTCGACGGAACATCTTTAGCCTGCGATAATAAAACTATGTTATCAGAAATGTGTACCGAAAAAATGAATGGGAACTTAGAAATGTTTCTTTTCGAGGCGACGGTCTGGCCGTGTTAAAAAGACCACCCATTCTGATAATTAGCGATAAGATGACTGACGAAGTCCAGGTGAAGAACAAGAGTTATGACCACCGTCGTTCGTATTGTTCTGTTTGCGGCTAGAGAAAATGATAACTGCGATTAAAAGGAAGAAAAGGAAAAGAAAAAGATAATTTTTTTTTGTTAAGCAAGATATTTTTTTTTCTGAAACAAAGCCGTGGAATCGTACACGCCCGACCAGACATCATTGGTCGAGTGGTGATCACGTGACGCAAGGAGGAGGCTGTCGCCGCCCATCTAGAGGATGGGTATGAGAGGTTGCTACGAAGAAGTGGGGAGGGCAGTTCACGCCCCTCTGAAGTATGGTGAGAAGGTGGGAGTAAGAGAAGGCTCCCAAAAATGGAAAAAGTGGAAAATTCTAACCAGAAATAAAAGAGGTGGATATGTATTTAGAATTATCGAGGAACCCCCGGCGCGGACAAACCCACCCCGGTTTTGGTCGGCGTCCATATAAGCGAAGTCGCAGCGAGCAGAAATCAGTTTCAGTTGAGTTGCAGTTCAGTTCGATTTGAGTTCCAGTTCGGTTCGAGAGACTTCCCGCCTCGCAGATAGCTAACCAAGATTCACGCAAATTCCGGACTCCTCTTCAATCCAAGAACAATTAATTTGAAGAACGACTTAGATCCAGACCACCAAAATAAGTTTTTTTCGACTTTCGTCCGAAGACACACCGAAAAACCAATTTCTTAAAGAGCAAACAACTTGAAGTGTTAAAACTCGCCTAACGGAAAACAACGTGTCACAATCCATAGAACGGGTCGGGAAATAGACGCAGTCCTATGTAGCCAACAACTAGATATAAAATTTGTTATCCTTTTTTTTGATACCTCAAATTTTTGAGTTATCATTTTATTTTATTTTATGCAAATTTGTGTGGTGTCACCCCCGTTGAACCCGATTTGCATTACGGCCCCAACTACTGATTGATCTCGTCTGCCTAAGATCAATTCACAACGTGGGTAAGCAGACTGGAGATCAATGCAGTTACTTTGATAACCAGGCGTTGGAAGCGAGTTGGGAACGACGAGGCTGATATCGAATCTAACCAGATTCCCATCCGAATCACCAAAAGGTTAGAACGTCACATTCGGGTGCCGCGACCGATACCAAGCCAGTTGGTCGTCAGAGGACGAGACAACACGACTGACGCGACAGGCGGACGTCACGTTTGGAGCGGCGACACCCGAGCGGAGCAGCGAGGAGCGAGCGAATGCTGTGTTTAGGGACGTCGCAGCTGACGCCGCGACCAAGGACGTCACAGCTAGCGCTGCGACAAGGACGTCACACTATATGTGGCAGCAATATTCGAAGCATGAATGAATGGTAGACTTATAAATATGTAAGGTTTTAGCTTTTGTTTTGGTTTTTGCCTATTGCTGTTTTTATTTATCTCTATCTCTAAAAGGTAAGATGTGTGTGTGTGTGTGTGTGTGTGTGTGTGTGTGTGTGTGTGTGTGTGTGTGTGTGTGTGTAATTGCACGGCCGCAATTTTCGACGGATTTTCACCAAAATTTATATGCAGATGCTCCAAGTTAGTGGAAAGGTCAAGACCGACCTTGCATTTCCCAACTCCCATCGATAGTGAAAATAATCAATTTGTTCATGCTTCTACAGCAATTTTCATGTAGCTTGCGGTCATTTTATACTGGTCAGAGTGAGAGCCTATAGCTGGCTGCCACGAATAGGCAGGAAGATTCTATTGGTTAGCGTGAGAGCCAACAGCTGACTGACACGAATCTTAACTAGCATGCTAGCATGCAAAAAATCGATAGCTGCATTCGTAACAAGTGGGAAAAATTTAAATCTGCATGGCACTTTACTCCAATTGGCTCATTCGCTTGCTTAAACTCAATATTGATTCTGATTCCGCAGAACTGGGGTGGGTGTGAAAAAGTATTTGTTGTTAACATTCTTTTTTTCATTCGTTTTTTCCAGTTACGAGTCCGTTTTTTAAAGCTAATCGTTTTGTGTTGATTTTGTTTAGTTCCTTTTTCGTAACAGATTTAATGTTTAGTATAGAGCTTAGAAAAAATTGGCAGTGTGAGATAGACAAGAAGTAAGGCATGTAACAACATCAGCACAGCAAAAGGCACTCCTTTAAAGTCAAAGAAGGGCAAAAATATTTTAAGTCAAGTGATAGCGATTGCTGTAAGGGTCGTACGATTTTTGAATCAAGCACGGGCAACGCCGGGCCATGCTGCTAGTTTGTTTTTTTTTTTATAAAATATACGATTACTGCAACTCATCGAATTATTTGTTATTTTTGTTTTGTTTTGTTTTGTTTTTTGTTTTTTTTACTTATTTTCTGTTAAATGATTTTAATATCTGTCTTTTGTAGTTTCGGAGTTTTACAAGAAGTTGTCTTTTACTTAGTATTTTTCAAAAATCAAGTCACGTACATTCATACAAGATGACAGATCTTTGACAGGGATGCAACACTAAAGAAAATCTCCATTCAAAAAAAGTCAAAATGGTCGCTCAATTGCTTTAATTCAATTTATTTGCTAGACGATTAACTGACTTCAATTAATCTCCCATATCAATCAAAGTAACAAAAAAAATTCATCTTGATTTGTGTAGCTATTTAGGTCGATGCAAAAGTTTCCAGTATTTTGGATAAAAATTATTTTCTTCATTCAAATTCATAATATCATTATTCAGTTTACAAAATATTCTTCATGGCTTTCTATGACCTTAAACAATCTTTCATTAAAAAAAAAAAAAAAAAACAAAAAAAAACGGTGCATTCCAGGGTAAAAGAACGTTTCTTTTTTGACTGGAACAATTCTTCCACTTATGATTCAAATTCTAGATGTTACGTTCACGTCTGCATTTATACACTTGGGAAATGTATGGATCCGTCTTTTCTCCCTACTATGGGTTAAACAGCATTGCAGAGTTGGCTCTCGAAGCCTTGATGTTCACCATGTTTAAGAGAAAAACGGTTTGAATTTCAAATAGTAGAGAAAGCAACGTGAAATCACTTCACTAGCTTTCTCAAGAAGTCATGGCAATTCACAGATAATAAACGTGTGGAGAGCCATGATCGCCTAAACCCTGAAAAGATATAGCAAGGGAAAAAAAGCAAACGAAATAGCAGTATTTCCATCAGAACTGTTTGTTCCTTTGCATTTACTTTCATACAGATGCCTCTGGAAAATACATCAATGCATCACTTCTCTCTGCTCCCAGCTATGGGTTAAATAGCAGGTTAGACATTCTCTCTAACCCTGGGTTCTAAATAGTCTAAGAAAAGGTAAACTCTGAATTACAAAGAATGGGGAAAATAAGGGGAAACCACACGGCTATCTTTTCGAAGAACGTATACCAATTTATAAATTATAAAGGAAAGGAAAGTGTGGAGAGGCATTATCCCCTACGCTCGAAAAGGAACGTGATATTAAAAAAATTCTTTAATTAGTATTCATATGGAGACAGAAAAGAGATGCTCTGTAAATAACTTGTCCCGCCTCATGTGAAAGGGCTTGAAATTACAATGACTTTTTGCGTCGCATTTGCAACATGATAGACTTTCCGTAGAACAAACCTATCGTTCGAACTTATTGTCGATAAAATATATGCATTGGATTGATTATACAAGAATTAGAATTCAACGAGAAAACGATGAAGTAACTCACGTCTTGCAAATAAGGGCGATACATACCTCCACTTTCTTATGTTAACAAAGGAACTTTGAGAGCGATCACATTTTTTCTTCGTTTTTCGACGCTAATATAATTTTTAGCAAATAATTTGAAATATTGTCGTCATATTTGATTAAAGATCAACAAAGGTTATTTCTTAAAGAGTTTTGGTTCATTTCTTTTCATTTTTTCTATATTTCAGATTATTTCAATGCTTTTAGGTGAAAATTTACATATAATTTTTTTTAATGTCTGAGTTGTTTCGGCTTTCATAAGCCATGATGAAAAAGGCTGTGTGTGTGAGAATGTTATGTCTCGAAAATCAGAATGGTCCGAAATATGGAACAAATTAACAGCAAGACACCTTAACAAAGAACTTACGTCGATATTTAACCAAATATATTATTATTATTAAACGATTTTTTACTAGATAACCGTGCCGTCAAAAATGACGGCCATTTTTAGAAAGTTTTAATAGTGAGATGAAAGAAAAGTCTTGAACTGCACTATTCAGATTCAATAAAGCGGAGATAAAGAATTCGCAATTAAAATAGAAGCTAATGAACCATTTAATTAATCCATTCCTTTTATATTTTTGGATGTTCATTGGTATCTATCATTCATTGATTACTTTCCGTATTATATGATATATTTACATGTTAAATAAGTTATGTATTTAATATAATAGTGATATGGAAATATCTAAGATTAGCAAAAGAAAAAAACAAAGTCGCTGATGACAAAGCTTATTTAAAGATCAAGTTGAAGTAAGACAATCATTTATTCAAAAAAGTATCTGAGTGCCTCACATGAAAGGCTTGAACAAATGAGACTTCAACTTAATAAACATAGAAATAAAGGAACTGCTTATTTAC